GGTACTTAAGTTTCTAGCTAGAAACTTGTATGTTTTGGACCAAATAATCATTTTTCTTTATTTCTTTCTTTCTTTACTTCAGCCGACTTTTAGTGTACGCGTTACTTTTTTGAAAGTCAATAATTTTGGTGTCATTAATTCTAATTGAAATAATAAAGAATAAGAAGTACAGAATTTCAGAACAGATACCTAAATAAATATTTTTTTAAGCGAGGGATGTAGTATTTACTACTATTTTCTTGATGTTTTGTTATTTTCAGGGTGTTTGTAGGCTATGAAAATTCCTTTCGTATAAGTTACACAAGTGCCCAATATTATCTAAGTAATCAGCCTCATAAAATCATTTCGTAGATCAGTTTCTAAGCTTTTCACCTTCATCTAGTATGTTGGAAGCTTTTTATTTAATCCTTCTGTCGTTTTAACTGATAGTTACGGGCCAGATGGGTTGCGTAACGGGTTTATATAACATGTCATAACAAGCTAATAAAAAGCTTTCCATAGAAATCTGTCAAACTGATATAACACTTGTTTGGACCTACCAAATACCTACGTCAGCATTATACAAATCCCGTTTTGCTGATTTGAACGTGTATGTAATAGGGTATTCTTTTGTTGACAGATTTTCAGAATTGGATCAGTAGTTTCAGGGATTTCTTGGAACTGAACTGAAAAAGTTTTTGGTGTGGTTTTTTAGTTCAACTTGTAGATACTTAGGTACTTCTTCCAGAATAACATAGTTACATTGAAACGGAGATTAGGGGTTCTTTCCCAAAGAGACATCCTGTTTTTAGCAGGATTCCGTTTATTAGTATACCTACTACGTGTATGTGTGGGATAGAGAATATTGAGATTTCGTTATTAATCTCATACAAAGGCCCGATTTCTGATTTTTTTAAAATTAAGTTCATACATAAGTTGAAGATGAGCACGTTTAAGCCAAAAACCCCAATTAAAAAAACCGGGCCATAAAGTTGTTGCTTTTTAATTGCTTCGTTTCGGTTCGAACAGTATTCTATAACCGACTTCAACAAAAGGAGGTTCTCAATTCGGTTTTACACGTTTTATTCTTCGTTCGTTCGTTTCAGCCGAAAGACGTCCACTGCTGGACAAAGGCCTCCCCCAAGGATTTCCACGAAGACCTATCGTGCGCCGCTCGCATCCAGGCACCTCCCGCGACCTTCACCAGATCGTCGGTCCACCTAGTGGGAGGCCTGCCCATGCTACGTCTTCCGGCTCGTGGTCGCCACGCTCTACGAGCTATGTGCCCCGCCCACTGCCACTTTATTTTAGCGATTCTGCGGGCTATGTCAGTTTTATTCTTCAAGTGTCTATAATTTTATGGATATCGATTATTCTTCGAGTACACCTTACGCCCCGATGTCGTTTCCCATTTTTCCATTGAGCTAAAAGCAAACACGCGAAGGTCAAGATTCGACTCCGGGCTCGGCTCACAAAGAGTTCGGATACTTCGCGGGCCAATAACAGCCTCTCGTATCTTTTGTGAACGGTTACACTGCAGTGCAAATTATTTGGACACTGTTTTATTTTTACTATTTTTTTAAAGTCTTATGTAGAGTTAAAAAATGTCGTATTAGTCAGTAAGTAGGTATCTAAAATGTTTCACCGTGTAGTCACTAATGTTTAGTACCTACTTATTCGTTTGGACTTTGGACATAAGATAAAATAAGCAAGATTTTCTTGTATGAACAGCAACTCTTACGTATAAATAAATTGGTACCTTTTGCCATTAGAAATATTTTAATGTTCGATTCGATTCTAATGTTATGTTACTAAGCGCTGATTTTTCAATCGTCGGATAACTTTTAACTGAAGTCGAATTACCTTGTCATTTTGACATAATTATTTCCCATACTAAACTGTCAATGTGCCAAACTTATTTTTCAGTTACAAGTTATCCGACGATTGAAAAATCAACGCTAAGAGTCAGATATCTACTTGTTAGCCATATTACCACGCCTATGTTGCTGCACCAATTTTGTTGAGGTTTATGTTGAATTGAAAAAAGTTCGGATGACTGTACTTTTCCCTATTTAAACTCACACGTCATCTCACCATAATTAATAACCAAACATGATAATTTTTTGCCGGTCATTTTCCNAGAAAACTCGAGACTTTGGCCTCGAGAATTCCCGAAACTCGAGAAAAAAAATAAGTCGAGAAATCAGAAACCCTAGTCGTTAGATGCAGCACAAAAGTTGTATTATTTAAAAGCTTACCTTGTAGGAGATGCTGCACAACTATTAAATAATATTCCAGTTTCAGCTGAAAATTACTTAAGTTGTTGGGAAAAACTTGAAATTATGTACAACAATAAAAGGTATTTGGTCAATAACATTTTAAACCGTTTATTTAATCTCAAAAGCTCAAATACAGAATCAGCTCAGGAAATCAAACACTTGTTAAGTACTACTTCTGACTGCTTAGAGTCTATTAAGAACTTAGGTGTGGATGTCTCATCTTGGGATATTTTTATCATTCACCTAACCAGTGGGAAACTTGACAAGGCGACTAGGAAGGCATGGGAGCTAAACATTTCATCGGACGGGACTGATGAACTGCCGACCTACGATCAGTTTGTTCAATTTTTGACTGCACGATTCCGAGCCCTAGAAAACTTAAATGAAACTAGGACTAGTTCTGATAGGGTTGTAGGTAAATGCTCGCAATCTTATCATTCGCGAAATGTACATATAATTTGTACATATTGTAAAGCTAGTCATAAGATTGTGAATTGTAAAAAGTTTGCGCATGAAAGTAATGAAACTCGTCGGTGTTTTGCTCAAGAAAAGGGGTTGTGCTTTATTTGTTTGTACAACAATCACACTGCCAAGTCTTGTAAAACCAACTTCAAATGTCATATTTGTAAGAAACGTCATCACACGTTATTACATCCCAGCAGTTTGAAATCTACGGGAGATAAATTAGCGAAGGGCGTTGATTCTGCCATGCGGGCGGAAGGTACGAAAGCTAGTTCAAGAACAGAAGTAGGGAAGCCTAATGAAAAGGTGGTATCATTTTCATCGACAGGTAANGATGGCTTAATATTGAAGAAGGATTCAGGACCAAATTTCCACATTGCATAGGGTCATTGGATGGCAAGCATGTAGTCATTGAAAGCCCAACTCATAGTGGAACAGAATATTTCAATTATAAAAAAACTTTTAGCATTGTCCTTTTGGCGTTAGTGGATAGCAAATACAAATTTGTATTTGCAGACATCGGGAGTCAAGGAAGAATAAGTGACGGTGGCGTGTTTAATAATTGTTTACTATGGAAAAGAATATGTAGGAACGAGATAGATTTTCCACCGCCATGTCCACTTCCAGGATCGAATATTAATATTCCATACGTGTTTTTAGCTGACGGTGCTTTTGCATTGAGTCAACACGTAATGAAGCCCTACCCTGGAAACCATGAAGTAGGCTCACCAAAAAGGCTATTTAACCAAAACTTATCTAAATNGATGTCGCTTTAGACTCTTACTACAGTGGCGTCAACTAGTAAGCGCTACAACGATTAAAAGGAAAACTAGTTTTGTCATCATCATCATCTCAGCCATAGGACGTCCACTGCTGAACATAGGCTTCCCCCAATGCTTTCCTTGTTACCCGGTTGGTAGCGGTTAGTGCCGTCGTCGTGCGTAGAGTGGTAGTTGGTACCGTCCAGCGCTTTCCTGCTACCTTTATGATGTATGCCTTTACCACTTTGTGGGTGGACGTACCACGCTGTGTTTTCCGGTATGCTATGCGGCCTCCACTCCAGAACCTTGCTGCCCCATCGGCCGTCAGTTCTGCGTACTATGTACCCTGCCCATTGCCACTTCAGCTTGCTAATCCGTCGGGCTATGTCAGCGACTTTAGTTTGTTTACTATTTACAGCTGACATACACAGCTTGTGGAGTACATAATGTGAACGACTAGACATATTATATAGAACCCCGAATGCTACTTATGCTGACCCAACCAGCTGTATAGAGCTCATAGCTTTATTATCAGTAGTCTTACGTCAGTCTCCCAGGCATCATACTCCTGCGCGAGCGNCTTTATTATATCAGTAGTCTTACGTCAGTCTCCCAGGCATCATACTCCTGCGCGAGCGTGGCGATGAGCGCGGTGGCGGCGGCGATGGTGCTAGTAGCATTTGAAAGGGACAGCTCTAGCGCGGCCGCGTCACGCGAATGTTGGCCCAGTTGCTGCTGCAGCGCTGCCACGCGCTCCTCTACTGTGGCCAGTCCGCTGGATAAAGCGTGCAGCTGCTCCTCGGCGGCGACAAGATTTCTGATAAATAATGCGTGATAGAATTAAACAAAATGTTTTACTGGATTTGTACATCGACCAGTTATTTATAGTGAGAGCGACCGTATCGGTTGTGAATCCAACAAAGTAATTAAGAAAAAGGTTATAGACTGTATTGGTTTGTTAGTACAATAATTAAAGTATACCACGAATGGACACTTTTTTATAAATATTTATACTTTTCTACGTTATGTTTTTTTATTGTCTATTAACTTTCGATGTTCGCTTTTTTATTATTAATGTCACTTGAGGAAAAATAGACGGAATACGTGCTGAAACTGCATTTTATTGATAGCTACGACAGAATTAGAATAGTTAGTACGATTAACAGTATAACACTTAATTCAATTTACTACGTCACTTCAAAGTGAGCGGCGAAGTTGTAGTAGGTGGAAAGAGAATGAATGATCACATTTGCACTTAATGAAGAGTAGCTACTAGAGTGAATACTGACTGCCACTGACGCTAATTAGCGAGTACTAAATCGGTAGTCTTTAGTAATCCTGCCGCGGGGATGCGCTAAAAATACTCAATATTGCAAATCACTCACTTATGTAGCCGCGCCTGCTGGGCCTGCAGCGGGCGCACGCGCGCGGCGGCGGCGGCGTAGGCCAAGTTGGCGCGCACCCAGGCGGCCAGGGGCGCGCACGCCGCGCTCGCACGCTTGGCCGTGGCCGGCTCGAACGAGCTGCCTCGCGTTTTCAACAGCTTCAGGTTCAGGCTGGTAATGCTTGAGCATGCCTCATTCTTCAAGACTCTCCAACAGTTCAATTTCTTGTCTTGATTGTTCGGTTCTATACTCTGAAATAAAAAATAAAAAAAGATTATAAATCTCTCTCTACCCAATTATCATATTTCAGGAGATGAGTCTAATGTGTTGAGAGAATATACATGATCACCAAGAACAGGCCATGTTGACTATCTGATTCAGAATTGCATAATTCAGAATAGCAGTTGGGCTTTTATGAACATTAAATACTGTCCTAAATAATGTTTAACAATTAAAGTATTTTGACTTTTTTCTTGCAAGAAAACAAACAATATTACACAGTATTCTAGCCATTTTTTTTAAATAAATATTATAATAACAGGCCAAGCCACTGTTTGATTTAGCCTCCTTTGATATGTTTTGACATTAACTTAATGTCCTACTTGTATTATAGCNCGCGAGCGTGGCGATGAGCGCGGTGGCGGCGGCGATGGTGCTAGTAGCATTTGAAAGGGACAGCTCTAGCGCGGCCGCGTCTCGCGAATGCTGGCCCAGTTGCTGCTGCAGCGCTGCCACGCGCTCCTCTACTGTGGCCAGTCCGCTGGATAAAGCGTGCAGCTGCTTCTCGGCGGCGACAAGATTTCTGATAAATAATGCGTGATAGAATTAAACAAAATGTTTTACTGGATTTGTACATCGACCAGTTATTTATAGTGAGAGCGACCGTATTAGCAGTGATCACTGGTTCTATCCGGCTCGAAGGACTAAATTTTTCGGTTGTGAATCCAACAAAGTAATTAAGAAAAAGGTTATAGACTGTATTGGTTTGTTAGTACAATTAAAGTATAACACTTAATTCAATTTACTACGTCACTTCAAAGTGAGCGGCGAAGTTGTAGTAGGTGGAAAGAGAATGAATGATCACATTTGCACTTAATGAAGAATAGCTACTAGAGTGAATACTGACTGCCACTGACGCTAATTAGCGAGTACTAAATCGGTAGTCTTTAGTAATCCTGCCGCGGGGATGCGCTAAAAATACTCAATATTGCAAATCACTCACTTATGTAGCCGCGCCTGCTGGGCCTGCAGCGGGCGCACGCGCGCGGCGGCGGCGGCGTAGGCCAAGTTGGCGCGCACCCAGGCGGCCAGGGGCGCGCACGCCGCGCTCGCACGCTTGGCCGTGGCCGGCTCGAACGAGCTGACTCGTGTTTTCAACAGCTTCAGGTTCAGGCTGGTAATGCTTGAGCATGCCTCATTCTTCAAGACTCTCCAACAGTTCAATTTCTTGTGTTGATTGTTCGGTTCTATACTCTGAAATAAAAAATAAAAAAAGATTATAAATCTCTCTCTACCCAATTATCATATTTCAGGAGATGAGTCTAATGTGTTGAGAGAATATACATGATCACCAAGAACAGGCCATGTTGACTATCTGATTCAGAATTGCATAATTCAGAATAGCAGTTGGGCTTTTATGAACATTGAATACTGTCCTAAATAATGTTTAACAATTAAACTATTTTGACTTTTTTCTTGCAAGAAAACAGACAATATTACACAGTATTCTAGCCATTTTTTTAAAACAAATATTATAATAACAGGCCAAGCCACTGTTTGATTTAGCCTCCTTTGATATGTTTTAACATTAACTTAATGTCCTACTTGTATTATAGCAAATGAAACTGATTTATTCTACTAAGTAGAGTAATTTATTCTAGTCTAAAGGGATTGTCAATCAATAATTTTTACCTAATAACTTCATAGGATTGTTGGCTTCCTCCTCCTTTTGTTCCTCTTCTTCCCGCTTGGTCTGCTCCTCCGCCAGTTTCAGAGCCCGGAAGTGCCTCGTGGCCCCCGCTTCTATCTCGTAGTCCGTGTTCTTAGGATCTGTCTTGAATGATATCTTGAAGGCACCGTGTGCACTGAAATTGTAAATGAAACAGAACTGAGCATGTGTGTATTTACAACAATACGCAGAATAGTACAGGCCAAGAGCTTCCTCGTTGTGGATTAAAAAAAAAATTAAAAATTTAAAAGTATGTTGGTAAAATCCTGAGACAATTATCATCTACACAACCGCTAAATCGTAAAAATGAGAATTATTATGTCTCTGGACTCTGAATTATGTCAAAGCTTTTACTGAGTGTCGAAGTTAAACTGAAAACCAAGCTAGTTATAATGAAATAAACTCGACTTTAACATTGTGTAATGTGCTATTTGTTGGTTTTATGTAGAAAAAAAAAACCTGTAAATTCTTATCCCAAGATAGTCCTCAATCTCTACATCCTCTTTACGGGCGTTGAACTTCTTTCCTTTGTAGATGTACTCGCCACACGTCGCGCAGCGCATGTTGAATGGGGCCATCAAACGCACGGTGTATTGGTTGGCGGTTTTTCGCCAATTTTATGCGCGGGATTTTGGAAGGATCGAAGTCTGGGGGATAGTATTTCTGAAAACATTAAACATTCCATGATAAAGCGATGATTATACGCTGAAATTGTTACAATTTAGAGTAACAATTTTACAGGGCGTTTCGACAGTGAAAGTAATACTTACGTTTAAAACTTTTATTTCCTACATTTTGAATCAACTACACACTTCTTATTAGAAGTAAATAATCTTCTCAGCCAAAATTTAATTAAAATCGCAGTTATTACTTCGGGACTTTATTTAGACTAGTTAGGTAGGAGGTGAACATAGCAAAAGTCCCCGCCCTTAGCCCTTGAGCCGGCAGGGAGAGGGCGAGGGGTGTTTAAAGGTACCACTTTTCAGTTTTTCGCTTAATCCTCAGAAACTATGACTGTTCTAGTGACATAACTACTACCTATGAACTCAAAAAAGCTTATTCAATTTGCTACAGGTGAGATAGTCAAGTTCTTCTATATCTTGTATAGTTTTCGCGGCATCAGCTCTAGGTCTGTAATATTTAAAATATTATTTTTGTCTTACGTGTTCCCATCAGGAGAAAACCGACTAAATCAACATTGAGTAAACATTCTAGACATGCGGGAGCATGTTAAGCCTAGTTCCAGAGAGGAGACTGCACCGTGCGTATATTTAGACGAACCACTTGGAGCCACTTTTGACTCCTCATCACTCAAAAACTACTGTGCATTAACACTTCAAATTTGGCTCATGTGTTGAGACTTGCAAGATAAACATCAGCTTCAAATTTCATAATTAAACCTCAAACGGTTCTTTAGGTATTGACATACATGTCTGACCTATAGACCAAATTCTAACCACTTCCAGATTACCTTGAAGGTTCAAATTTGGCATCCAGATAGGTAGTTGTGTAAATGTTACGGTTAATGTGATAAATTGAAAATTATTAATAATAACCGGTTATTATGAATAATTACCGACAGTCGCGGTAAAAGTGATAAATTAATCACATTTAACAGTGATTATTTAATAATTCAACCATAGTACTGACAAATTTCATAAAAGAGAACAACATCTTGTGTACGTGCTCGTGTACAGCCAAACTTTTGAACGTTTTAATATCATATATTAATATAATTTGGCATAATGAGTTTGGAATGTTTTTTGCATAATATTACTTTTCCATGATGCGTATAACATAATGTTTTGATTTAAAGTGAAAAATAGGTTAAGGTGCGGCGGGGGTGGCCCTTGGGTCACCCCTAAGCCGCCTATTTAGTTTTATACACACATAAATGACCTCATATTAATCACATTTACCAAATCATGCGGTGATTATTCATAATAACCGGCGATTATTCATAATTTTCACATTTATCACTTTGACCGTAATATAAATACAAAGGAACAAATAAAAAAACCGGCCAAGTGCGAGTCGGACTCGCGCACCGAGGGTTCCGTACAAACCTGCAAGGTTTACAAAGTTCGTTCATTACGACAATCGAGTCATAACTATGGTATTTTTATTGCAAAATGAAATTCATAACATTACAATGGGGAAAGATGGAGGAGCATAAATTTAAGACAAAGATCTCTTTATCGTTTAAGTAATCCTTTATTTTATAGTATTTGATATGAATTTCAACTTGATAGCTCTACGCGTTCATGAGGAAAAAAGTAATAAGTTTATACAGGGTCCTTCTAAACTAGCTACATTCCTTTTAATGGGGGCATCTATACGGTACACTGAACAAGTTCACCAAATTTGAGTATGTGTTTTATAATGATTTTACAAAGTTACATTTTCTAACAAAAATAAAAATTCATTTCGTCTTACATAATGGAATGTGGCGACGCCACTACAAACTAGTGACACCAACAGATGGCGCTGTCACTACTTCACTATGGCACACTCCGCCGCTCATACAAACCTGCATCGCGGTGACGGAGTTTTAGATCCTGCCAAGTATATATAGACAAACCAAGATGGTGTAAATTGGACCTTGGTCCCCGAGCATAACACCCGCTCGGAAGGAAGCACTAACATCTAGCTTCCTTATTGTGGTTGAGCATCATATCCCACATTGGTGACCTTATTTGCGTTCTAGTATGGACCGGAACACGATGTTCTTTGTCCGAATCATCATGTTTCTATGCATGAAGTTGGGGAGCGCATCGAGCCATTGCTCCGGTGTGAACACGCTAGACGCGTATTCGGATATCCTGGTGGTTTCAACCAAAGGTACATTAGCCAAGTACAGATCTGGTTTCTGGAGCGCGTCCTGGTCAATGGGAGTAACATAAATTTTTCGAGGCGTAATGGTGAGGGCTTTACGAATAGTATTATTGCGTCCAATTTTGTCATACTTTACATTGAAAGGCGGGTTGTCGTTCGAATCTAAGCTGGCCAATTCTATCGTCAAAGGCGCAGGGAGCGAGAGCAGTACCGGACGGGCCAGACTTCTCTCTCTCAAAGTCTCCAAAGCGCAGTAGCTATTTAATAGCGCCTGTAGTGCTGCTGGATTGATCACCTCCATCTCATTCCTGGGTACAGTCTGATCGGTGAATCGATTGGTGTATGGCATACCACGCGCCGCAAGATCGCGTAGCGTCTGCAGTCTATTTCGAACTATGCGCGGGTCTAGGATTATCTCTCGTGAGATGCCGAAGGCTAGCGCTGTATTTTTTGCTCACACAACAAAGCTGTAGTGTATTCATTCTGCACAGGAACACGAGACACAACACACACAACGCTCACTACCACTGCACACTTTTTTGTTGTTTACACTCACGTCATAACAACTCACAGCAGTCGTCACAGCTGATAGCCGATTAGCTGATCGACTGATTGGGCGAGCTATCACTTCAATGTTGCAGGCCTACTCTCATATCGTTGTTTATCCTTATTATCTTATGTTAATCACAGTAAAACGGACTCACGATACCATCGAAAAATCAACCAGCAAAGGGCATGATTTTTAAGGCGCGTCTTAGTAAATTTATTTGCATTTGTGCACCGAGCGACCGACCGAGAGNTTGATGAATAATAAAATAAATCCTACTAGCTCGATTGATGGTTTCATTTAATTTATTTAAACCAGGTTACCTATAATATAATCATTTTTCGTTAATTTATGAAAATATCAAATTAGCCCGTAATCCTGAACCCTGATACATAAAGTTAGCCTATTAATTTAACACAGGTACGACTGTACTCAGTGTTGCACTATCAAATGCAATTGACGCGCCTCTATGCCAGGATTTTTATGTTCCTGGTCAGGAACTGCAGTCGGTCATTTGAACAACCTCTACTAATATTCTGTGTAGTGAACATGATCTTTGTAAAATAAGCACACCTTTTGCACAAGTAATTAAAATTTCACCCCCCCCCCCCCAGGCCAGAAACTGGGTATCACTTGCCTCTCCCCCCCTCCCACCAAGGCCAGAAGCTGGGTAAGGCTTGCCCCTCTCCCCAGGCTATAAGCTGGGTATGACTTATCCCCCCCCCAGGCCAGAAACTGGGTATTAGCATCATATGTTATGTATTATTATGTTCAATACAAACAATCATTAAGTTACACTCACCCCTACCGCGTCTCCGCATTGCATCGAATCCTATGAAAATGTGGTTTTTGGACAAAGCGGCCTATGTTTATTACTTAATATCTTAGTAAGTAATGGTCCGATTTGGATAATTCAAAAAGATATATCTTTCTTATGTCTTAAAGATTAACGTAGATACTAGTTTTATTGAATTTTCTACAACAGTACTGATCCTCATTAAAGTCTTTATTTTGAGACTTGAGTTTATTTTTAAGACTAGGACTCGTTAGTCACATGAATAAGGGAATAATTGAGTCTTCCGAGTCCTTTCGAGTATTTTAAGTTCTTTTATACTAATAGGCAATAATGAGTGATTTCATATCATCATCCGTATGTTATATCCTAATTGAAAATAAAATAAATCGCACAATACAAATGTAATATCAATAAAATTGCATTAAACGCAAATAATCGAATCAGAAGTATCCATCTAAAGACTGACGATTTTCGTAATCAAAAAGTTAAAACAGTCCAATAAAATAATAAACACACAGTCTTAATTCATAGCTATTTTATTTTCTTCAAACTTTTAATAAGTAAGATTCCAAGACTCGAGTGTCGTATCGTACAACACTAGCCGGCGCGCAGCAAACGAACTTTTATGGTACGTTTACACGCTTGCCAAGCCTTCGCAAGCGGCAAACAGCTCCAAGCCTCCACAAATCTCGTTTGGCGTTTGAAAGGAGTTTACACGCTTGGGAACGCGTCAGTCTGCAAGATAGATCCAAGCATGGCGGACACCGAACTTGTAACGGCTATTGCATTTGGTTTATCGTACTTTTATTTAAAATGCAAGCAAAGTGAAACAAAAAAAAGAAAAACTCGACGACAACGAAGATGGTGGATGAAAAAGATTCATCGAAATCGTACCAGGTAACTACTATTTTGGTGTAACCATTATCTGTTGTAGTTACGTTATTCCACAATATTTACTGTACCTATATTTTATTTGTTACAGACAATTTATAGAAGAGAAATTTAATGAACTTTTATATGAACCTTCTGGCGAGTTTGATAACTTCTGCCGAATGAGCTATACCGATTTTGAATTTTTACTGCAGAAAATTTCACCAATGATATCCAAGCAAGATACAGACTTCAGAGATGCTATACCGGCCAAATTTCGTCTTGCCATTACGCTACGATTTTTAGCATCTGGTGATTCTTACAAAAGCCTTCACTACATGTTTAAAGTATCTGTCTCTATGATATCAATAACCATTCGTGAAGTTTGCCGATCTCTTAATGAAATTCTAAAGGATCTAGTTAAGGTAAGAATAAAAGAAAAAATTGTTATACATTTGTTTAGGTTTTAATTGATTCATAGGAAACTTTTTTACAGCTTAATTATTTAACTTTATATTTAACCTTAAATAAGAATTATTTTGACGACTCAAAATCTTCGAAAGCATTCAATAAAGCTAAGTTTATAATGTTGGTGTCTCGCGGGGGTGGGTTGAGGATTTGGTCCGATATTATACGAATAGATGACAGGGGTGCTGTTGATGTAGAATATGTAGATGGAGCTGGAGGTATTGGAGTTGGTATATGTTCTGTTGTGTTTGGCACTGAATGAGAGGTTTCTGTGTATGGAGAGGGAAAAAAACTTTGAGTGTTATGTATAGGTTCAGAATAAACGCTATTAACTGATGTTGGCCGACTCTGAATGACTTGAGGAGATGGTGTATGGCGTGAATATGAACCAGCAATTGAGGAAGGTCGAGAATAATATTGAGGGTATGGTGTATGACGCTCATTTGATTTTTGACTGATTCTGTTTATAAACAACCCATCTATTTGGTACATCATAATTTTTCGTTCATCATTTGGCAGTTCACGTAGCTTTATAGCCAATAATTTAGCATATAGATCGCAATCATCTTCTTTGTAAGGAGGTCTATTTTCATTCTGTTTTTGACTTAAAACATTCGTTAATTGACCAAAAGCCACGGCCATTTGCTTTTCAGCCGTTTCAGAATCAGAAGCAAGGCGGCGACGTTTATTAACTGCCTGTATGGATGGTGATCTAGATGGTGGTCTGGATGGTGTGGTAGCCGTACTGGTGCGGTCTCTTATCAGAGGATCATCCTCTGTCTGATCTGTAATTTCTTCTATTTGTTGTGATTGCTGCAAAGAATAATATACAGGGTGTTAGGTAAATGGGTATATGAGCCGACACTAGCCCATGTTAACATATACATATAAATGGTATGGTGAAGTCAGAAAATAGATTTCATCATTTTAATTATTTTAATTTTCATACAAATCTGAATTTTTAAATTTTATTTTGTATGAACATTTAAAAAATTAAAATGATGATATGAAATTTCTGATTTCACCATACCATTTATATGCATATGTTAACATGGGCTAGTGTCGGCTCATATACCCATTTACCTAACACCCTGTATTGTTACTCACACTTCATTTAGTTTCTTTTTTTACAGATGCCCACCACAGCAGAAGGATGGCTTAATATTGAAGAAGGATTCAGGACCAAATTTCCACATTGCATAGGGTCATTGGATGGCAAGCATGTAGTCATTGAAAGCCCAACTCATAGTGGAACAGAATATTTCAATTATAAAAAAACTTTTAGCATTGTCCTTTTGGCGTTAGTGGATAGCAAATACAAATTTGTATTTGCAGACATCGGGAGTCAAGGAAGAATAAGTGACGGTGGCGTGTTTAATAATTGTTTACTATGGAAAAGAATATGTAGGAACGAGATAGATTTTCCACCGCCATGTCCACTTCCAGGATCGAATATTAATATTCCATACGTGTTTTTAGCTGACGGTGCTTTTGCATTGAGTCAACACGTAATGAAGCCCTACCCTGGAAACCATGAAGTAGGCTCACCAAAAAGGCTATTTAACCAAAACTTATCTAAATCCCGAGTTGTAGTTGAAAATACGTTTGGAATTTTAACCTCGGTTTTTAGAATATTCAGACGTCCTATCGATTTAGAACCACAAACTGTGACAGAATTTACGATGACTTGTGTATTACTACATAACTTTTTGAGAACAAGTAAAAGTTCTTCAAATCGATATATTCCTCAGGGTTCGTTAGACGTATATGACAGTAGTGGAAATATGGTTACACCTGGTTCATGGCGCAGAGATAACGACGGATATAATGCATTGCAAACATTACCACAAATACCACGAAGATCTCCGCTGAATGCCAAAGAAGTCAGAGAAGAATTTACTTCATATTTTAATAGGATTGGATAAGTTGATAAAAATGTATAAATAAATTTATAATAAGTAACGGATTTTTTTTATTTAGAATAAATGACTTTTGACTTACAGTTTCGGTGTTTAACCCTTCATTACAAGTATATACTTGCAGTAAGAATGACTCCATGATTTCGTAGGCATACCAAGTGGGATTGTATATTTCATCGGCACCTAAAATAAAAGATATATAATGTAATGTAAATAATGGAATTATAGGAATATAATTTTTATTATTTAAAATGCGTGGAAACACTTTTAAACATATATCTTTTTTGATCACTTACATTAATAGCTCATTTAAATTTAAAAAAAAATTCAAAACGTATCTTCATAAATTAATACGGAAGTGACC